ACAATCCGAGTCATCGGCTCCCTCAACGCCGACATGGTCTCCGTAACCCCTCGCTTCCCGGAACCAGGCGAGACAATCACCTCATCCTCATATTTCACCAGCGCCGGCGGAAAAGGCGCCAACCAGGCCGTCGCGTGCGGGCGACTCTCGCGGCGGAAACCGTCCTCGACCTCGACCCCCAACAAGCCCGAGAGCCAGCGTGGCAGTGAGAGCGATATCAAAGTCGAGATGGTCGGAGCCGTGGGCGCCCTGGACGGCCACTTCCAGGCGCTCCTGAAACCCACGCTTGAGAAGTCCGGCGTGGACACGTCGCGCGTGCGGGTGGTGGAGGATGCGTATACGGGGGTGGCGGTGATCATCGTGGACTCGTCGGCTGGCGGTGAGAACCGGATTCTGTTCTCGCCGGGGGCGAATTACACGGGGATGCGGGCGACGGAGGACGTGCTGGGGATGGGGCTTGCGGCGCCGGTGCCGGATGTGATTGTCATGCAGGGGGAGATCCCCGTTGACACGGTGGTGGGCATTCTACGGGATATTAGGGCGTGGAAGGCGAATAATCGAGCGCAGGGGAAGAAGGGGATCGAGGCTGGTCCGGATGTCATGTATAACCCTGCGCCGGCACCGCCTGGTGGACTGCCCGAGGAAGTGTACACTGCCGTCGACCATATCATTATGAACGAGACGGAGGCGGGGCTGATGAGTCCGTCTGAGGAGCACTTGCTCAAGGTTGTCCCTGGTGTGGAGAAGGAGAGCAAAAACGAGAAGGTGGCGCGGTACTTCCACCAGCTGGGCGTGACGTATGTGCTTATCACGCTGGGGTCCAAGGGTGTGTGGTATAGTGCGACGGATGCGGGGACGTCTGGCCCTGCGGATGGTGTCAATCGGTTTACGAAGCAGATTCCGGCCGCCAAGGTCAGCAAGGTGCTGGATACCACGGCGGCCGGGGATACTTTTGTTGGTGCATATGCCGTGGAAGTGGCGCGCTGGCGCGAGTCACGACGAGCGGATGGCAAAGCCGGACAAGACGTGGCTGCAGAGGAGAAGGCATATCGGTATCAAGAGGTCATGGACAAGGCCATGGGATTGGCGACTCGCGCCGCAGCACGATGCGTAGAGCGACAGGGAGCGATGGACAGCATTCCTTGGGCGGATGAGATATGACGATACTTGGTATGCGGTGAACTGCAGTTATATCGAGAGCATGTATACATACCATATCATTGCGCGAGAACACTGAAGAATGGGGCAAATGACTATAAAGTACAAGACCGGGTGACAGCCCACAGGTCATCGGAACGAATATCAGTGGCGGGCATTAAGAAAAGTATTTCCTAGGATCTCGAGTAGACACGAGAAATGGAATGAATGAGATGGCTGTGGAATGAACAGTTGAGCATTCAGAACATCCATTCTTTAGTGCAGGAGCACGAGCTGCTTGACTCTAAGCCTACACGCACTACCTTCAAGCGTAAGTCTAAGCGTAGATCAATTGAACGGCGGCAATTCGCCAGCGCGTAAGACTCTACCCTTTCCAGCTCGACTACCTCTCGAGAGTTCAAACACACGCAATAGACAGACCGTCCTAGCGTCTACATGACGCTTTTCAAACGAATCACGATAGTCTCGACGCAGCCGCTGGGGATGCGTTGTTCGTTGTCCGTTTCATATTGTCTCTCGTCGCGCAAGGAAATACTGGCTGAGGACAACCGAAGATTCGACTTTAATGTTAGGTCTATTAGTTTGGCCGCGTCGTTGACAAATCAGCATGGAGACTCAACCGAGTCAGATGCGGCTTCTGCTGAGCGATGGATTACAGTCTGCCTATATTCTGACCTGATGCATGCAAGGACGCCCGGTTCTGAGATAAGCAGTCATATACTAAGGTAAGAGTCGGTGGACGCCGAATCATGGGCATGGACGCAGGTATTGCTAAAGGAAGGGGCTGAAACGATGACAGTGCGCGAGAGTAAGACGCGACGTGCTGGACGCATTGGGATCTGACTTTCCTGATTCTTGGAAGTTGAAGTTGTCCTAGGAGGTTTAATTCTTGGTAGTCGGTGGGAGTGGGACGCGTCGAAGGGATGGAGTTGTAGTCATCAAGTACTTCCTAGGAGGAGTATTATACTGAATAAGTAATAGTAGTTTATCTATGTTTCTATCTACATTGTCATTGATGACTATCTTTTGTTAAACTGGTTAATGAACCCATACTGATGATCTACATGTATGTTGACAGTCATCTCCGGAGTAGTGTCGTTATCGCGGGTCTACCATGAGGACAGAGACGATAGGGATCTCTTCTGTAGGATGATCAAGACAATCAAGGGTTGAATCATGATGAATGAAGAAAAGTAAGAGACACGAGTTGACGCGACTTGCAGCACGTCGACAACCTTCATCTATTGAGCAGATGGTGGGAGGAAGTGAGGGGAAGCTACTATGGAAAGAAGGATAATTGGATTGTCTGGAGTCGTGGGATCCTCGAGAGTCCAATAGAGATGCTGATTCAATAATTGATGATACAAGGTGCGCGCCTTGCATAGCTTGTAATCTAGTCTAGTCGCAGGACGAGGCAGCCTACACCTTAAACTACTTGAAGAATATCCAACACGAACATGACGCGCTCCATCACGATCACGGTCCAAGTGTGGAGTGGAGGAGGTCCATCAGACACGCCTCAAATACTTCGCTGCATCCCTCGTCCCTCCTCCAGGCATGAAGATGATATCAGTCACTAGACATCATTCTACTACTTCACTCATTCTTCGCCGTTGAAGTATCCCTTTGCTGCATCACTGAACCTGTCAATCAGAACAATTCCTGCCCGCCAACAATTCGCCAGGAATTTGCCCTGTCTGCTGCCCTTGCCTCCTCTTCTTTTCTGTTGCATCCTCCATACTTCCTCACCGACCATATATCTTCTGTGCATTGCCTCGTCTGCCTCGTTCTTGATCGCTAATTCCTTTTTATCCTCCTAATCCTCACATCCTGACCACCACGGTCTTCTCCCATTCCCCCGTCCTGTACATCCACAGCAGTATCAGATCGTACCATATCATACATCCAACAGACCGTGCCGTATTATCTCCGTCGCAGCCACACTCAATCCTGCTCCAATCATCGGTCACTTCCTCTCTGATCGATAGATCTATCTATCCATCTATCTATCTATCTACCAGTACCATCAGCCGGGATCATCAGCTTAGACCGCCAATCCCTTGCGGACCCCACTTCCGCGAAATCAAAACAAATCCAGGCAGCCACAGCTCCGTCTTACTTCCTCGGTCGCATTCGACTGTTATAATAAATAGACCTGGTTAGTATCGAAAAGAAATCATTCTTGCTTTGACAGCAAGATCTTCAACGGGTGCGATTCGTTTCATCATCCGTCTCAGTATGGCCGCCCTTACTATGACTCCTACCACAATGCGGCAGCCCTTTGCCAGCCTCGATGCACCGCGTATGCGCTCCTTACTTAAGACAAAAATGAACATCAAGAACCAGCAAAATGGTATGGCTTTTCCTCGGCCCTTGACCACACATGCAACATCCTTCTAACACTCTGCTTCACGTTAGGTGCCTCCCCTGCCAAAAGGAGGCCTTTGGCCGAGGTTGATGCGGAGAATATCGACCCGGCCACCCTCAACATGTCAACAAAGCGAAAGCGCGGCTGCGATGAAGAAGACCACGACCCCAGCAAATGCTCTCCCAAGCCGTTGAAGACCTCTCGTATGGCTCTGACCGTCGTAAAAACGAATATTACTTCTCCCATGCCTTCCTCAACCTTCAAGGCACCTCTCTCGAAACCTAAATCCACTCCAGCTCTCAAGCCTGTCGGCCGTTCGCCTCAGGGCAAATCCTGCAAAGCATTTGCTCGTCGCTCTACCATCAACAAAAGTCGGCCAGAACATACAGGCAGAAAGAGTATATCCCGGCCTTTCTCCATCGCGACAGTATTGGGCAATGTGCAGCCCAAGAGCCAGTCTGCCCCTAAGACTCCAGCGTCCTGGTCGTTCGAGATCTACGTGGACTCGGAGCAGGAAGAAATGACTAACTTGATGCAGCACTCCACCTGCGTGCTGGATATCAGTGATGACGAGGGCAAGGCGGAAGTCTCAAGTCGCGGCAAGGAGAACATTCCCCCGTCTGAGTCGGGACTTGACCTGTCTCGGATCCGTGAGCGAGAGACTTCCGTTTCAAGAAAGACTGAGATGACGGATGAGCCTCGCTCTCCGCTCGGTGAGCTCAATGCCGCTGACTATTATGGCGAAGATTGCCATGCCTTTTCATATGCCGTGGTCTACGACGAGGACGAAAGCACCTCGGAACCAAAGACCTCCCTCCCTCCCCTGCCGCGCAACCCTACGCATCCCACCCGGACAAAGATGTCAAGTGTATCATCCATATCCTCGATCCTTGCAGCTACGCAGCCCACCAAGACTACCGAGTCTACAAAATCTGAGGCAGAAATTGAAATCTGGGAAAGCCAGAGCACTGCAGATGAATCAGAGAAGGCGGTAGAGAGCAACCCCAGCGATGAGCTCTCCTCATCATCAACGGCCTAATTAATTAATGCTTGAAATAATCATTTGTCCTGTTAATAATAGTCTGGATGGCACCGGCGTTTGAACTAGCGGATTGGACACATTTGCATGGCGTTGAAAATGGTTCCTGTTTCTGGAATTGTTCGAACTTGGATACCCTCATCTTGCCCTCTTTGATCTTGTCATTTTTTTCCTTTCCATAATCAGCAAATGGATCCGTCATGATGACCTTACATCCTTAATCTTCCTTGTAGTCAACTCTCTTCTCATCTTTTCCTCGTTGTCAGCTGTTCTGCTTTGTGTGCTAAGTTCCTATCAACTTTGGCCAGCTCGTAAGCCCATTATTATAGCTGAAGACATCAACGTCTTGATCCCGGTTTGGGGGTAACGTCTGCTTCTTGCGGGGTCACAAATGTAGTAGAGATCAAATTACGGCAAAACACCTTGAGAAGAGGATCATGACTTTGACGGTTCGTCCACATCCATATCCTCCCCCTCATCTGACTCCTCCTGATCCAGATCATTCGCCTCATCCGCCGCCGTAGCAGCAGCCTCCACCGCTTCCGCTGCCGCCGCAACCTGAGCCTCCAGCCTCTCCGCCTCTTCCAGCGCTTCCTCCTCGCCCTCGCCCTCGCTCTCCTCTTCCTCGCCTACATCTTCGCTCCACTGCACGCGTTTCGCGCGCGCAGCATCAGAAGCAACCCCTGCCGCCGAAGGAGCACTGCCGTTTGTACGGGCACTGGCACCCGCAGCATCAAGCTGCCCCTTCCAGGACGCCTTAATCGACGCCCGGATATCAGTCGCAAGCTGCATCTCCCGCGAGGAGGTTCCCTCGGGATCGAGCGTGAAGTCCGCGAGGGAGCTATCCGGCGCGACGTGGTCCGGGAAGCGGAGGACGCGGGCGAACTCGCGCTCGTCGGCGGCGCGGCCGTCGAGCATGCTCTGCACTTTGGCGCGCATGATCGTCCTGGCTTTGCCGATGGTGCCGCTGCCGAACCAGCCGTCAACGGCGATTTCGCAGGTTTCTCGTAGGAAGCCTGGGGGTGGCGGATCGGGGAAGAGGATGGAGCGCAGGAGCGGGTCGGTGATGTCGCAGAACATCCACATGCGGCCGTCGGGTGGGAGGGGCGGAGTGCCGGTGAAGAGGTGTGTGTCTGTTGGTAAGGAGGTGAAGGCGTCGGGGCCTGTGGGACCTCGTTGGGTCGTGGGATGGTATGGCGACGGCCGCTGCCGGCGTCGCGGGCGAGCTCCGAGGTGCCGGAGAGGATGCGGAACATGACGGTTTGGTAGATGCGGTAGTCGGGGGAGGTGCGCGGGTCGTGGCCGAATTTGATGATGGCGTCGCGCCAGGGTCCGGAGCGGAAGATGTAGCCTACGTAGGGGACGGCGTGGCGGAGGGCGTAGCGTTGTTCCGGGGTTTTGAGGTGGTTGCGGAGGCCGCGGCGGGTCCAGGCTGGGCGGTCTTTGAAGAGGTCTTCGACGAGGGCGATGGTTTCGCGCAGGGTTGGCTCGAGGGTGTTGATGGGTGCGAGGTTCTCCCGCGGCTTGGTGGGCACCGGTGCGTCGAAGGGGAGTAGATAGGTGTGGACTTTGGCGGCTTGGGAGGTGTTGACGGTGGTGAGGTTGCCGGAGGTGTCGACTGATTGTCGGACGGTTGGGTTTTGACGGTAACTTGGCTGTGTTAGTGTTGATGAATGGACCTTGTGGTGCAAGAGGCATACATGTAGGTAAATGGGACATCCCCATGGCTGAGGGAAGGGGGCGGTATGATATCAACATTGGATGTGGCACCCTTGCTCATGTCAATATCAAACTGTTTCATCTTATCATCTGGCTCAATCTTAGTCATGACACTCTTTATCTAAGAATTGTAATGCTTACAGTCAAAAGAGAGAATCTGCTCCCGGAATCGATTGGTGAATGCGCTCCCCGTGGTCGAGTAGACAAAGTCCGGCATGCCTGGAGAACATATCAGTAATCTATGTCTGCTATGAAGAGGGCAATACAAACCTCGAAACACATGCGTCCGGTTAACCATCCCAACAGGCTCAACCTTGTACTTGCCCACATTGTCACTCAAACTTCGGAGTAGCTGCTTCGCACTCCTCCGCTGAGGCTGTTCATGGACGGTCGTGACAGGAACACCAGAGAATGGCTCATCCGAGCCCTTCTTGCGTTTCCGGCCGGTCCTCTTGGGAACTGTCACTCTGAGCAGGATATTGTTAGAAGCAGAGCTCGTCGACTGGAGTGGTCGAGACATGGCATCCTCCGGCCGCAGAAAGAGTTTGGCTCGGGTATCAGCCTTTGGGGGGTTCAGGATCTGATTCTATTAGTATTTTTCTTAATGCACTTTGGGAGATACACCCTTACCTTTGAGATGCCTGCATTGCCTTGTAGAGTTTCAATTGCTTTGTCGACGTTCTTGACGATGGCCGGGTGCTCCACGCTGACGACGTGACGAGCAGGGATTGAGTAGTAGGGTGCTGTTCTTGTCCCTTGTTGGTCCATCATATTGTCTGGACTGGTTGGGGATTTTTGGTCCTCCATCATGGCTTGTATCGTCACCAAATGTTGGCGTCGGGATGAATCGTGAAGCCGTGATCAAGGAGAGGCGAGATATGTATATTTCCACCCGGGTTACGAATGAGAGCTGGTGATGTATGGAGTCGGGGATCCGCGAACTCCACACGGTAGATCTAGTCCTTCAATTTGTGAGACTAGACATATGGAAGACTACTTTGACTGTTGATACATGATGTCTACAGTGACGCTGAATCTAAGCTTGAGGTATACCTTGTCTCAACTGGCGATTAAGAATTGCCGGGTCACATGACTTATATCCAAGGCAGATGTTACTGAAGAGATTCTGTCCCTCGAGTGTGATTTAATCTAACTGGTCTCTGATTTAGAGTGCGATCTATTCAGTGTGAGCAGTGAGGTCTAGATAGTATGTAGATACTCCGCAGATAGACAACTACTTGAATACCTGCAGCGTCTGTCCTTGTGTCGTGTGAACGTCTGCAGTTTTACCAGCCCGAGCGCTCCTCAGCCACAGTAACAGGACAGTTTGTTTCATCCCCGTCGTAAGGATCACCACCACAACACTCGCCAGCATACTATCTACTCAGCGTACAGCAACCTTCTGCAATTGCCGTTCCTGAAATTTTATATTACGGTTTCTTCTCGATATTAATAACCTTTTTTTTTATCTCATTCCTTGTTGCAAGCCGCATTGTTCATCTTAATTTCTGGGGCTCTTGCACCCACCCCGCTCTTCCCAGCCAGCCAGCCGCTAAGCGACAAGGAGACAGACGATCGGCCCAAGCAGACCAAACCGACCTGATAGCTGCTCCTGACTATCGATCTATCGAAAACCGACTGGGTTCGCGTCCGAAAGAAAACTGAGAGATCTATCTGATCAGACTTGAGTCTCCTCCACTCGGCTTCGATATCCGCCTTGTCAGATTCTGGAATACTCTACTTGAGGTAAGTTGTGCAGCAATGGTTTCTTGTGACTGGATTCAACGTTTCGTTTGCCCCTGGTGCTACAATTGTCCGCTTGTTCCTTAACCTACCGCTTCCCCCCATTTTATCCTCAACTCTGGGGTTATTCGTTCAACCCACCACTTCCTATTTTTTGGTTTTCGGGTCTGAAGTCGTCGATCTTCCGACTTGAATGATTTGAAATCCTGCAATTTTTCGATTGATAATTACCGTCGCTTTCTACCTGTTGTGGTTGGAACATGCTCATGTGGTCATCCCAGGCCGAACATAAACAAATCACGCCGTGGCTCCTCCTTGAACTGCGCTCGCGCTGCCCGACTTAACGCCTCCTGCTAGTGTGCGGCAGCTTGCTGCACTGGCATCGAGAACCTCGACCGAGTACATGTGGCTGGTTACATAGTCTTGACAATGAAGGGTTTCAGACAGAGAGTGGTGAGTCTGCTCAACGATCGCCGTCCCTCCCCGCCTTGATGCCTGGCGACCACCACGGACTGCGATACCACAAGTTCCTGGCTAAAATAATGATTCAGCACGAGCAGTTGTCGAGGGCAAAAGAAGCCAATAAGTCCTCGAAGAAGAAAGACTCCCAGAATCAGGCCGCCCTTACCGCTCAGCAGGCCCAGCAATCCGCGTCCCCGAACCACGGCACGCCGACTTCATCTACGACCTCCGTAAATGATATAAGGGGAAAGTCACCGGATAATGCCACGCAAGCGGGGGTGTACCCCGCTGGCCAGCATTATATCCCACATGGTGCAGGTGTCGCTGGACAGCCTGTGAACAATGGACAGGGGACTCCGACCAAGCAAGGGCAACCGATTGCACCTAGTGTTATCATCAGCCCAAGCGCACCACCGGTGAGTTTCCTAGCAACGCTCCAACGTCCGTCGGAGACATTGGGGTCGCGCCGTGACTGTATCGCTGGAACAACCGATGAGTGCTGACTTTGCCATCTCCATAGCATGTCCCTCCCCCTGGTGCCGCAGAGACGATGCCTGGCGACTTGGCCCCTCCGAGAAAATCTCATGTCTTTGATCGCCTCCAGACTACACCCAAGGATATGTCGGAAGGGATTCGGACTCCAAAGCGCCAGCATTCGTCGCGATTCGATATCTCCGATCAGCGCCAACGGGAGTTGGAGAAACTTCCCGGATTCCACGAAGTGCCACCGAATCGGCGCCAAGAGCTTTTCATGCAGAAGATTGACCAGTGCAACATCATTTTCGACTTCAATGATCCTACAGCCGACATGAAGTCCAAGGAGATCAAGAGACTGGCGCTTCACGAGCTCCTGGACTACGTAGCGAACAACCGTTCAGTGATCACCGAACCCATGTACCCTCGAGTGGTCGAGATGTTTGCCAAAAACCTCTTTCGACCCATCCCTCCCCCAGTTACCCCCAAGGCGAGGCCTTTGATCCCGAGGAGGATGAGCCGGTCCTGGAAGTGGCCTGGCCGCATATCCAGGTTGTATATGAGTTCTTCTTGAGATTTATCGAGAGTCAAGATTTCAACACCAACATCGCCAAGGCATATATCGATCATCATTTTGTCCTCCAGGTACAATTGAATCCTCGAAACCCTTTCTTCTCCCCCTGAGAACCACGTACAGCGATACTAATCCTCATCAGTTATTGGAGTTATTCGATTCGGAAGACCCTCGGGAACGGGATTTCCTCAAGACCACTTTGCATCGGATCTACGGAAAGTTCCTGAATCTGCGGTCTTATATCCGTCGATCCATCAACAACGTTTTCTTCCAATTCACGTACGAGACAGAGCGCTTCAACGGAATAGCCGAGTTGTTAGAAATTCTGGGGTCTATTATCAACGGATTTGCCTTGCCTCTGAAGGAGGAGCATAAGCTCTTCCTCACCCGAGTGCTGCTCCCCTTACACAAAGTCAAGAGTCTCAGCATGTATCATCCACAACTCGCCTATTGCATCGTCCAATTTCTTGAAAAGGATTCTACCTTGACTGAAGAGGTGAGCCTCTTTTTTTTGGTTTCAGTATCACCTCTCCAGCTCTTCTGATAACGTGGATTTTAGGTCGTTCTGGGCTTGCTACGCTACTGGCCGAAGACGAACAGCACGAAGGAGGTCATGTATCTCAACGAAGTGGAAGATATCTTCGAAGTCATGGATCCAGCGGAATTTGCCAAGGTTCAGGTCCCTCTTTTTCAACAACTGGCCAAGTCAGTTGCAAGTCCTCATTTCCAGGTCGCGGAACGCGCACTCTACTTCTGGAACAATGAATATTTCTGCAACTTGGTCAGTGACAATGTGGAGACGATCCTACCCATCATGTTCGCGCCGCTTTATGAGAACTCCAAGGGCCATTGGAATAGGTAAGTTGCTCGTCAGAGTCTTGGATGTACTTCTTATGTCAGATCCGCTAACATACTTACCCTCTCATAGAACAATCCACAGCATGGTGTACAACGCCATGAAGATGTTCATGGAAATCAACCCTCAACTTTTTGACGAATGTTCCCATGAATATAATGAGCGGCAGAACAGCGCCGAGCAGCGTGAGAAAGCTCGGCAAGAGCGATGGGAGAAGGTCTTGGAGCGAGCCAAGGAAAGAAAGAACGGATTCTTACCGCCTCCAGCTCCACCTGCAGAAGCGCCAGCGCAAGTTGACGAGGTTGATGCCCTTGCCCAGGATAACCAGAAGCGTCTCAACGCCCTGAAATTGGAGGATTCTGCGTCAAACAAGGAGCGGAAAGAGGGTGCACCAACTACGGTAAGTAGCATCCTACCCTGACTGCTTTTGTATTCGCGTTTGCCGCATGTGATTGTCTCTCCTAATTGAGGACCGTCTACTCTCATTTTGTGTCGCATTCTGTATATGTTGCTAAGATTTTGCGTATTTCGGCGTCTAGCAAGCGTGATTCTAACGTTGAAACGTCCGTTTGCTCCAGAGACGGCGCCGAGGTTCTCTCGACGGTTCTTATACGCGAAGGCGACGAAGTGGTAGCGGCAGCGAGATTCGACCGCGTGTAGATCGACGACGGTCGGCTGGTTCGAACGCCGTATCGTTTTTGTCGCGGAGCAACTCTCTCAAGTGATGGCCGGTTTGGTAACATGACTACTCCGTTAGATTTTCTTTTTTGTGCAATGATGGCATAGCGACTATGAGCTGTGATGAAAGTGTATTTGACTTTGTTTGGCTTGACATACGATACAAGCCGGTCACCCCGTGCGGGCCTTTTGCCTTGGTTGCTTTCCTCTTTTCCACCCCTCTTCTTTTCTTTTGTACATGACTTTCAATATCCTTCACAGTGCGCGCGAGGCTTATAGAGCCCCCGCGATTGACCAAGCGGACATTTGATTTGGACTATTAGAACTCTGTTCGGGTCTGGAAAACGGGTGCGAATGGCGTTTCGTGCTCGATCGACCTTGTTGTCGATTCATCTTTTTGAATTTCTAAATAAAGACTTCCAGTCACTCTATGGACTGTCGTATGCTTCCACAGTTGTTGATGCACGTGCCTTCAACATGTAAGTCAGGGTCAGGGACACTGACATATAGTCGTTGGTCTTGATAGGCTACGTAACGCGATAACCGCGGTAGACGCGCGCCAGCCGGAACGGGGAAACAGTTATCCGGAATTTCCTGATTTGGCCTAGTGTTTCCTTCGGGGTCTCTGCGATACCCGCGTTCTGCTCTACAGCTTTCTGCTCTGGAGGTTCTCAAGGCATGAGTCTGAGGTCTTATATCCTTCTTTCCTTTCCACGCTCCCGTCCCTACTTCTTGATACCCTCTTTTGGAGCGAATACCTTCCCTTTTGACTATCACCCCAAACATTAAGCGGGGAAATTTAATGACTTAACGACCGTGTTTCTTTTGCTCATCTAGCTGGAGCGTTTTCGTCGAGCGAGTCAAGAGACGATTCCTCCCTCGATGTCCCGCATGTGAGAAGAGCACGCGAAACCGGTTGTGCTGGCTCTACATAATTAGCCGGCCTCGCGGCCTGGCAGCGATCCAATTCCTTCGACATATTAATACTTTCCCCTCCAGAGATCAACCGCAGCCATGGAG